GCTATTCATTTTGCAAGGGAAGTTGCACTTTGCAAAGGGATCCTTCCTAGAATTTAGTGAATGTGTTATAATTCCACTTTGCAAAAAATACGCAATAAAAAAACCCTGAATTTTTGCTTTCACATAATTGGATAATGGAAGTCAGAGCCTCACCTCATTTACTAAGCTCTGGGAAATATTCTCTTGCAAAATGAACAGTCTATTTGCCTTTAGCAAATCAAGCCTTATATGCCATGGCCACCCAGCTCCTACAAGGTCTATGATGTAAGGATAGATCACAGTAATAGAAGAGTTCATACAAGCTAACAGCTACCTGAACATTTCTACATTGTAGAAAACTGATATATAATGAAGTTGTCACTCTTGCATTCCCCTCTTGATATGAGTCCCCCTGCTTCTTCCTTCATTCTCTTCTGTTTAGTGATCAAGGTTTCTGTCACTAATCTCTGCAGCCAGCTGCACTCTTGCACTTTATTGACTGCAGGAATAATGATGTCATGCCTGCTATGTCAAACCAAGAAACTGGTCTGGAAGCAAAGGGTTTTTAAATTTGAACAAAGAAGCCCTAATTATTCAGTGCTCCTTGTTGTTCTGGTTAATGTTCCAACACTGGCAGCTTATAAAACAGGAGGGCCGATCTCTTTTTCCCCAATCCAAACCTGCAGTATGTAGTCTAGTCATCAGAGGTCTATTTATATGGCAAAAAAAAAAAAGTAATAAAAATAAAAAAATATATATAAATGAAGCACATATACACACTTAGACTTATTAGGCCGATTCACACTGACATGTATTACTGCAACACACCTCCTCCATGTGTGTTCTATTCCAGTGCCTTTCATTGGGAATAACACTCCAATGCACCGTCTGCTCAAATGAGCCCAACACACAGCACAGAGCACCACAGCACATGAGTTGCATTGCAGAAAATGGTCATGGGCCTTTTTTCATTTGTTAATAGTGCACTGGCTGTCCATTCACATTGAATGGACTGCTATAACACAATGTATGTTAATACATGGCATAATGTGCATTAATGCACCACATCATATCATTAGAGTGCAACTAGTCCCATAGTTTACGTCAATGTAGAGGTAGGATGCAAAGACGGATATAAATCCCTTGTATCAACCCACAAGAGGTATATTTGTACATGTTACAGGTTCAATAAATGCATACTTTTTGCTTTATGGGTGTAAGGATCTTCAATTTCTTTGGTTGCTTCATTACGCCCACTTAATTTAAAGGTATTTATTAGCTCAAATCAATTTGATCTTTTTGTATTTAGTAGGAATTGTTAACATAAAATTGTGCACTAATATGAACTTTATTGCATTTATTGCAAACTTTGTTATATTTGTATTTATACACCTTGCTCTTTGCATTGTTTATTGCATATGTCCATTACTCTGAAAATAGCTGGCAACATACAGTATCTGATCAATGCTGAATCAATTACATTATACCCCTTTAGGGCTAAAAAAGCTGAGCTTTGATGTGTGTGGACAAGGCAGTTAAAGGCTGGGCCACTCTACTCAAATGCAATTCAAGCCAATCCAATCAAGAAGTGTTGTAAAATAGCAAAACTAATATTTAAACAGCTGTTCATACAAGTTGAAGAGATAATCGAGGAACATTTACTACCAAAGATAGGTTTTGTTGCCTACAACAGCTGATTAAGTGAAACGGAAATTAAAATGCTTTCTATTCCTCATTGATCTATGTGCCCTTCCTTGGATACCTCCTACACTATGCAGAGGCTCTCTGTCCCCTGTAGAACTGACACAACAGATATATTGGGGGAAATTTACTAAAACTGGAGTGCTCAGAATATAGTGCAGTTCTGTATGGTAGCCAATCAGCTTCTAACTTCAGCTTGTTCAACTAAGCTTTGGAAATAAAACCTGGAAGCTGATTGGTTTGTATGCAGAGCTGATCCGGATTTTGCACGCTCCAGTTATAGTAAATCTCCCTTTGTATCTGGGACCATTCAATTCTGACCCTCCTTCTATCTAACTACTTGGGTCCAATGACTCCCTTTTTCAATAACCCAGCCTTTCCACCAGCTCTTCAAACCTCTACTTTTGGCCCTTGGAATAAGCATATCCATCAACTGCTCCTGCAAATACTCCAATTTGACCCATCACGGCAAGTCCATCCAGTAGTTGCTGACACACTACTGCACAGTGACTACAGAGGAAACAGACCTTATCCTTTATTTGATCCATTAATAGACTCTCAAATATCACCATTAGTCCTATGCATCTGGATTTTTACAGAATGACCCACAACATCTCTCAGTTGTGCTTTATTATGCTATCTGTGGTGCACCCAGACCCGCCCCTCTTACATACTAACCTGGGAAAATGTCCAGACCAATATTGGCTCTTTGGATTGGGAAAAATGTTTCATTCTGGCCCACAAACTTTAAATAAAAAGTGTTCAAACTCATAACCAGATGGCACAGATGCCCCTCCATTCTCCATCAGTGTAACCATACAGTACAAGATACTTGTTGGTGGTGTCATTTATAAAGACACTATGCTTCACATGTGGTGGGTGTGCCCTTCTATTCAAGTATTCTGGATGTGAATCCTTAATCTTTATTGTAAGCTCAAATCCCACTTTTTCCTATGTTAGAACCTCCCTTCATGATTCCAGGACCCATTAAAACCGCTAAAAAGATGTACTCAGACACTTCCTGGCAACTTCCAGGATAGTCATACTCAGTTACTGGAAAACAACTACCACACCTCCCCTTGTGGAATGGGCAAACAAACCTGACTCTATCAGGGAACTAGAACTTCTGCTGTTGCAGGAAATCGACAGAGAACAACAGTTCAAAAAAACAAACTTGGACCTCCTGGTCTATGTTCCATTATTCATCAGCGTTTCAGGCTTGGATTAGGGAGGATAACTTCCCAGCACTCGGTTAGCCATGATGAAGTGACCACATCTTTTTCCATTCCTCCATACCTCTTTGTCCTTTACTCTCTTTTCAACTTCCCCCTTGAAATGCTTTCTTTTTTTGTCGCCTTCTTTTCTACACTTGGACACTAGGTTTATTGTTCAACCACCCTCTCCTTATCATCAGAATTTGAAAGTTAACACGTTACTCACCATTCAGTTTCTCATGAAGGGTAACCTCCTACTTGCAGAGTTGTTAGCCTCAGTAGTTACATTCTGGATGGCTGAGATTGTAGTGCCCAACTCTAAATTGTTATTACCTTTTTGTTGTCTTCAGACACAACATGTTTACATGGTTTTGCTAATGTGTATGATCTAATACTGTTGCAGTACTTAAAGTGTTACTAAACCCACAACAGTAAAATCAGTCTGTATATGCAGTAAAGCATGCTTGTTATACTCACTGTGGAACCTAAGGAGTTAATCCTCTGCATTGTGTAAAAAGGCTATTTGATCTTGTTTTCTCTGCCTCTCCTCTTGTTCAAATGTCCACCTAATAAGACAAACTGAACCCGTATCCACATGTGAGTGTACGCCCCTTGAGGGTTAGGGACTGATGTAAACGTACAATATATATGTAAAGTGCTGTGTAAATTGATAGTGCTATATAAGTACCTGTAATAAAATATAAAATCATATATTCACTTCCACATGGTATTTCCATTGTTTGTTTTGCCTACTCCTAGTAAGCTTAACAATCTTAAATTTTGTAAACTTACTTTGTGAAGATCCCCACACCTTTACTTTACATTGAGTTCTGTGACAAGTATTCAGTAGGCATTTATGTGTCACAGAATTCACAGAGCCTGCCGTCTGAACTACACAAGTGCTGAAAGGAGGAATTCCAGGAGGTGGAGTGAGTACATGAATCACTGCTTGCAGGCAGCAAGGTACCATGGGATATGTAGTCCTTAGAAATTGAAAGTAAACAATAGAGGAAAATATAGAACGCATGCAGGGAATCCATGAAGTTGCAGAAAAAGATAGACAGCAGGCGCACACAACAAGAAAGGAGATTTTTCAAGTAAGATGGATTGTCAAAGATACCTATTAATTGTATTGCTATTATAAAGCTGATTTTAGAAAATGAAAGTGTATGCTGTGAACACAGAACTCCTTTAACTTTATCAGTACTTATAGCTCTTCTTCAGGATCGAGGTAATAAAGCAAGCACCACAACATTTATTATCACAGTACACAGCACTGCACGTTCACATGGCAGCACAAATGCTTTGTATGCTGTGCTGTGTGGTTTGAACCATTCCATTCCATGCTGTGCTGCATGGTTTGAATATTCCGTTTCATTCCAGCTGGCTACACTGTTTTCTTACCCAACCAATCTTCTAGGGGTCTCTAATTTGGTCAAGCAGCAGAAGTCATTTGATGAACACAAACACTGCATAGCAAACATACATAATGGAAGTGACTGACTAAATGACCAATGTTTTTACTGGTAAGCGATAAACTGCCAGAGGTGAAGAAAAAAGTTTACGTTAACAAAAACTGATAACTATTGAAAATGGCATAATTATGCAAAAGGGATTTTTTTCAGAGAAGTAGTAAAGGGTTAACAACTCATAGTTGTTCTGCAGCAATGTAAGTAAATTAGGACTTGATTTTCAGCTCACACTGAATCCAACTTTGACAATTCAATGTCACATGTCAGTGCAACTTCAGGTGTGACTTGGCTGACATCTGTGCGACTTCAAGTAGCACCTGAAATGTGCAGGAACCTTTTTCCAAATTGGTGCAGCACTGCAAAGTCGCACCGAGTTGAAAGGTTTCATTGCGGACAATAGGGTGCAGCTTGTCATGTGATTTGAAACTGTCAAATCACATGACAAGTCACACCGGTGTAAACGAGGGCTGAAAGCCTATGATAACAATTCTTACAGGTGTCCCAATTTTTGTTGATTTCTTACACGTTCTCTGCCTGTGACTGTGTCACTACACCCCCTTAAATCGGAGCTATACACCCAGAAGGGGAAGTTCCGCTTTAAGCCTTTGTCCCCCGCTCCCCTTTAAGGATTGGCACCTTTGGGGAGCGGAGGTGGAGCAGGTACCCGAATTTGACAGGTACCCGCTCCCACTTCCTGTCCGATCGCCTAGGCCAGTGGTCGGCAAGCCGCGGCTCGCGAGCCACATGCGGCTCTTTACAAACTTAAATGCGGCTCTTCTGTGTGCCGGGCGCCCGCTCCCCTCCCTCCTCTCGGCGGCCGCCCCAAAAGTCAGGACTCTGCAGCTGTCAGGATGTAGGCGGGGCAGCCAGGTGTAGGCGGGGCAGCGTGACGATCTCCTCTCACAGTCCGCCCTGAAGACCAGAACGGCGCGGGAACCCGGCGAGAAGAACGCGCGGAGCAAAGTAAGTGAATTGACACAATATGGGGAATGAATTACTATAGGGGGGATGAATTACTACTAGGGGGGATGAATTACTATATGGGGGGATGACTATATGGGGGATACTATATGGGGGGATATGGGGGATGAATTACTAATGGGGGATTACTATATGGGGGATGTATTACTATATAAGGGATGAATTACTATATGGGGGATGAATTACTATGGGGGATGAATTACTATATGGGGGATGAATTACTATGGGGGATGAATTACTATATGGGGGATGAATTACTATGGGGGATGAATTACTATGGGGGATGAATTACTATATGGGGGATGTATTTTCAGTTTTAAAAATGTGGCTCTCAAAATAAATTTCAATCGTGGTTTTGGCGAGATTTGGCTCAGTTGAAAAAAAAGGTTGCCCACCACTGGCCTAGGCGATTGGAAGTGGAAGTTGTCCTCTCTCCCCAAAGTCTTATGGGACATGGGACAGGTCCCAGAAGACTACAGAGCCATTCACAAAGCGCAGCGCTTCTCGTGCATGCACAGTGGGCACCCGGCTGTGAAGCCACAAGCTGTCACAGCCGGGTGCCCACACTGAAGATGCCGGCGCCAGGGAGAGAAGACGGCCAGTGAAACCAGCGGTGACGAGGACACCGCTTGACCGAGGAACAGGTAAATGTCTGTACTTTAAAAGTAAGCAGCTACAGTTTTTTTATTTATTTTTTTCAGATGGAACTCCACTTTAAATAATATTTGGACAGTATTGTGCTGCAGGAAGTAGTATATTGTGCTCAAAATGGTGAAAAGAAGGCAATTAACAAAGGAAGACAGACAGCATTATAACCCTTAAAAGTGTAGGTCTTTCTTTTAGAGAAAGTACAAAGAAAGCCAAGGTGTCAGTGAGAACAGTTTCCCACACCATCAAAAAGCACTTGGAGGAGGTCTGGCAGACCCAAAGTTACAACAGAATCAGAAGCCAGGTATCTGAGAGTCAACAGCTTGTGTGACAGGTGGCTCACAGGACAACAGCTTAACACTGATTGAAGTAAGCAAGTTGCAGTTTCAACTGTGAAGAGAAGACTTCGAGCTGCAGGCTTGACAGGTGAAGTGGCTGTAAGTCAGCCATTGCTAAGATGGCAAGAAAAGAAAAAAAGAGGCTTGCCTGGGCAATGAAGTACCGCTGATGGACTACTTAAGACTAGAAGAAAGTCTTATGGACAGGTGAAACTAAATTTGAGATCTTGAGTTTATCACACAAGGTTTTTCGTATGCCATCAAGTAGGTGAAAGGATGGTTCCTATGTATGTGAAACCAGCTGTCAAACAGAGGAGGAAGTGTGAAGTTTGGGGTTCTTTTGCTCCAATCATTGCCCTACCCCCACATGCAGCAATAGACTCCATTTGATATAATAGCAAGCCTGTCAAACAGCCTGTTGATAAGCTTTCCATTGACGTCCCTGAAGTCTAGGGCATCCATTAGCAAGGTAGCACAATACAGAACGTCAAAGATTTCCTTACAGAGGTTATGCAGCTCCAGGAAGGCTGCAAAGTGAAGACCCCAGAAAAGCAGCGTTACATATACATATATATATATATATATATATATATATATATATATATATATATATATCTATTAAAAAAAAACAAAAAAAAAAACTTCAGGAGGAATTGGATAGGAGGGGGTGAAACATATAACTATATACCGTATATCACTATGCAAACAATACATGAAATCCAACTACAAAATGATCAGGTCTTCACAGTGGTCACAGTGGTACAGTGAGAGTGTGTGTTCTCCCAATGCTTTGGTTACCTTGATTAATAAAATAAATAAATACATAAAAGTAAGTTAGCTGGCATCGCATTAATTTGATCCTATTCTGTATTTCCTTTGTTAAAGAAAGGCCTGGCAATCTACTTCCATATCTTGGCAAGAACAACCAATGAGTAGTCATACTATGATTATATTAACTAAAGTTGCCATATGTCAAACCAGAATCCAGACAGAAATAATTATAAAATCAGATTTAAAACTACTGCTTGGTATGGTCATCAGTAGGTCTAGGCTAGTAAAGCATAGGGGTTGATTTACTAAAACTGGAGAGTGCAAAATCTGGTGCTGCTTTGCACAGAAACCAATGAACTTTCATGTTTTAATTTTCGCAGCTTAACTAAACAAGGTGAAGTTAGAAGCTGATTGGTTACCATATGCAGTTGCACCAAATTGTGTGCTCTCCGGTTTTAGTAAATCAACTCCAAAGTGTTCTAAAGCTTTAAAAAAAAAAAAAACACGTATATTCTTGTATTTAAGAGCCTACGTGTTGAATGTTTGCAAATGGCATAAGAAATTACTTTTTATAGACTGATCAGCTTTGACAAACATTGCATACAAAAAAGAATGAGATTCTTGAGGGACATTTTGACACATATAAATTAGTAACATGCACATGTCAGTGGATGATTGACTATAGCAAAGATACCTTTTTTGAACTGTCAGTTTTTAATCAGAAAGTCATTCATGTACAGCATACCAGAAAAATCTGTGATGGAAGAATCCTCTGTAATATAGTGTAATAAAACATGGGGATAAATAAATATGAATCCTTCTTTTATTCAAATTGCCCATGAAGTATTGTCCAAAGTGTATTGATTAAAGCTGGCCGTACACTAGTAGAAGTTTATTAGAAAATGTTCATTTTAAGAATATTAATTTAAACTTTTTAATCATTAATGGGGTCAAATCAATGTTTGTTATTGACCATAGTGATGAAAAAATTCAAAGTTGCAGGATGGAAAACTTTTCTTGAGCAAATAAATTTTGAATGAGGTTAATCTTCGGGAAAGTCATTCCAAAACTGATGATAAAAGCAAACTTTTATGAAAGTACATGTGAATGGCATTATTCATGTCAACAAATGTACTATGGGAATCTTCGTATGAAAAATATGAATAAAATAATACATTTTGTATGAACATTAATTTGAGAATAAGCTAGTGTATGGCAATCAGAAGCAGAAATCTGGATGTAGCCTTTATTAGATATGTCACTGCATTTTCCTGAGCTAGTACACATCTGTCATCTGTTAACATGATTAAAGAAAAAAAGAAGGGTTTCTAAGCTTTATGCTGTTTTAAGTGGTTATGCTACCCATCTGCGTTTACATCCTATACCTCCAAAACGTGGCCTCACCTAACCTGTACATGGTTAAATATGTAGCTTGACATTTCATATTTTCAGAATACTAACATGTAATCTGATTGGTTTAAATGGCTCCAGTTTTTCCTCTATATGCATAATTCAGCAAAGAATAGTAGCAGGCGGCAGCTGGGGACGGCTGAGAAATGGCAATCTTATTTCATATTGCCCCTAAAGGGCTTTGCATGATGTCAGAGTTTCTTCAGTTTTTCTTCTGCTCTCATAAATCAACAAAGCATGACAACGGAAGGCAGTTGGGGACAAGCTGAGAAATGGCAACCTTGCTTCATATTGCCCCTAACAGGTGCTGCCTAATACAATGGTCTTCTGCCTCTTTAGCATGAAAAACAAACTTGACAATGAATGTCAGTCCTACAGTCATAGGCCTACATGCATTGTTAACATTACGGCAAATAATCACTGCGCAATTAAATTCCAACAATAGCAAACAATATTTAAACAAATGCATTCTAATGTGTTCCCACACCTACACAGATGAATAACATTTTTTTTCATGCAGTGCAACCTACTATCAAACTTATATCCAAACAACTGTATAAACTGCAATAAACAATAAGAAAAATTGCAATATAGCAATATTGGCGATACCCTCTCCCACCATATTAACTAAAGTGTTTGCAATACTAATACATTTACAAAAAGTCCACAACAATAGTCTTTATATCACCATGTTGTTACTTATTTATCATTCACCACATGCTATCCTCTATTATTATTATAAAGGATTTATATAGCGCCAACAGTTTGCGCAGTGCTTTACAAAATGAAGGTAGACATAACAGTTACAATACAATTTGGTACAAGAGGAAACAGAGGGCCCTGCTTGTTAGAGCTTACAATCTACCAACTGCTCACCCTCACATTATGACCTAAATACAATATAGGTCAATATGTGTTTTCCCTTTAAATAGGGTATTCCTCTCCTGCCCAGGTTTTACTCCAGGATAGGATTCACTTATAGTTGTATCAAGCTCCTCCGGATGTTAGACCACATTAGCACTTGCATTGTTCTTAGCTGGACTGTAGTCATTCGGATCTAGCTAGGGTTTTGCATTTTGCTGGAGTCACTCTATTTTCTGACAAGGTCCCTTCTACTTGCTGCTATGGCTTCGCTGGTATATGTACATGCGTGTGTCTTCAAGCATGTGTAATGTTATTGTTTCCTTGCTCCACCAAAGGGTTAAGGTGTAGAAGCTGGGCACATTGTATTCTGTGTGTTAATGAGGACAGACTTGGGATAGGGTCATTCTAAAGCCAGGTACGGATGCACTGAAATTAGGTTAGTTCAGCAGGAACTATCCGAATTTCAGTGTGTGTAACAATGTCTGTTCAACAGAAACTGGTTGTTAGACTGACTTCTGTTGAAGGGTCCTGCAGGAAAACCAGTATTCGCACATGCAGGCAATGGCTGCAGTATTGATCTGTGTATTCTGACAAAGGGGATGGGGGGAGTCCCCGCTGTCAGAATACAATAGGACAGCAGGGGAGATCCCTGCTTCCACATCATTTGTGTAAATAAAGGGATCTGTCAGGTTGGTTTTTTTTTTGTTCAACCAGCATGTATACCCAACTTAACACTGTTCAAAAAACTTTGCAGGAAGTCATGACACCTCATTCTGAGAAACACCTAAAAGATAAGAGATATTTAAAAAAAAAAATAAAAAAAGGCATGCTGTGTAAATAACAACACATAACAAACATATAGGTTTAGCACCCTCTAGGTAGCTAGGGTTTGTTGTTTGTTAGTCAGAGGCTGGGTAGCAGCCTGGGATGAGTCAGCCTGAGAGTGAGCTAGTGAGTTCACCTCAGGACAAGCTGGGAGGCTCTACTAGTAAAGGCTTCTGCAGCCCTCCCAACCTTCCAGAGACTGAGAGAATTTTCCAGAAGAGGGGCGGCGGAGGGCAGGAAGTCCAGATTTGCATGTTTAGGGGAACATGGCCATCCCTAGGCAGGAGCCCGGGCATAGTGACCAACGACAATCCTTAAATGGACAGATCCTAAGCAGCAGGGGAGCCAGGTGGAAGATGGACTGAGAGAAGGCTGGAGTGTGGAGCCTGGAAGGGGACCCCAGGGAGGGGAGCCTACCTACAGGCAGTATGCTGGAAATGAGGATCTACACTTGCCAAAATCTCCTATGGAGGACATCCTGAGCAGCAGGGAAGAAGCCAGACCAGCATTCTGAGCAGCAGGGAAGAAGCCAGACCAGCATAAGGCCTGAAGGCAGCCACCAATCCACCAAGCTAAGAGGACAGCGTAAGTACTTCTACACCGCATGGACCAGATAAAGCGACAGGGTGGCCAGGTGCAAGACCCAACTAGTTCTCATCCGGGACTACTTCAATGTTAGCTCTTGGAATCCCTTGCCGAGGCATACCCTTGTGCAGCTGGGTGAAGAGGAGGATTCATCTGGTTCCTGAGGAGGTACATCAAGGGGACTTCAGTGC